CACCTAAGAACCAACGACCAGCACTGCTATCATTTGAGGCACTACCACCACCACTACTATTCACCTCACTCACCGACTTGGACCAACAAACAGCTGCAAAGTGACCCGTTTTTTGACATTTCAAACATCGTTTATCTTTTGCTAAACAGTGTTCAGGCTTTGAGTGATGGAGACCGCATCTGCCACACTTCTTCTGACCTTGCTTTTGAGATGGATCCTCTTTCTTTCCTTTTCCCTTTTTCCAACGCGGATTAGTCGGTTTCTTCTTACTGTGCACCACTTCAACATTCTTCGATGCAAGGGAATTCTGATCAGTAACCTGAGACTTGACCATTTCTGACTGGCGAGCTATTTGAATCGCGACTTCCAGCGTTAAATCCGACTTTAACTGTAATTTCTGCGACACACCTTTATCAAGAATTCCAATGCCAATTCTGTCCCGTATTTGCTGATCACGGCTGTCCCCAAGACTTCGTACGAACGATTCGACTGTCTCTCCTTGCTTTTGGATCCTTTGGTGAAAACGTGCCCGCTCATGAATTATGTTCCGTTTCGGCACGAAATGTTCATCAAACTTCGCCAAAATCACGTCGAATTTTGCATCATCTCCATCAGCCAAGGTAAAAGACTTATACACATGTTCTGCTTCTCTTGCCATTGCGTAAATGAGAGCACTGACTTGCACGGCGCCTTCCTCTTTGTGAAGTTTCGTCGCGAGTCGAAATCGCAGGAAATTCTGCTTCCAATCTGGCCAGTCGAGCGGTTTGGAAAAATCAAATTTCTCTGGAGGGCTTAATTTCAGCATTTTACTTGTTTAACCTCTGTCACCATGTCTTGAAATCTCAACAGGATTTAATCTTCATAACAAACAAACGTGATGTACATAGTCCGCCATTTGGCAAGAGCACATGGTAAGAGCCTACAAGTCCTAATGCGCACGTCTCTAGCGTTACTAAGCAACCATGCTATATCGAGACATACCCCAATTAGCATCCTCTTACAATAACACTTACCACCGAAGTATTAAAATGAAACCGAGTGAGGTGACTAAAACGAATGAAACTAAAGTGTGGGATACTTTATATGGTAATGACGTTGAAAAGAGTGTGCGTATTAAATTTCAAGAGGGAGATCGTGTTAGGATCAGCAAAGTGAAGCGAATGTTTGAAAAATCGTACCTGCCTAATTTCACGGAAGAAATGTTTACTGTATACAAACGAATGGAGCGTCAAGTACCCGTTTACAAACTAAAGGATGATGCAGGTGAAATCTTAGATGGAACGTTTTTTGAACCCAGATTACAGAGAATAATTAAGAACGATGATGTGTACCGCGTTGAAAAGATCTTGCGCAAGCGAAAGCGTAAAGGAATAGTTGAATACTTTGTAAAATGGAAAGGGTACCCAGACAAGTTTAATAGCTGGATAGCAGAAAGTAATATCTCAAAGTTGTGACATTTTGTGTGAAGCCAATAAAAGGGTTATTTTAACTGAAAACAAATGTTGTTGTGTATAGTTATAAATTAAGAACACCAGGAATAAATGTTCATTTGAGCACACGAAACGATGGAGGTAACACAGTTTTACCTGCATCTTCCAAGCAATAGTAGCCTCGATACGTTTCCCAACAACACATTAACGAAGTACCATGTTGGTTTACCTCAAACCGTTAGCTTGACGGGGGACTGGGAAGTAGCGTTAACAGAAATTCATTATCCTCGCAGCTGGAATAATGCCCAAGGAAATTTGGTAATCGATTCTTCCTTCGGAACCAAGAATTGTCCGGAGTATGGGAGGTCCTAATTATACCACCGGGTCATTATTCTTCCATTGAAGATATCTTATCAAAGATGAAAGGGCTGATCGAGAATGTAAAGCGTTTCAATAACGATGTAACATTTTCCTACGATACTTTCACTAGAAAAGTGACTATTCACCTAAAAAATAACGTAGAACTTTTCTTTGGTAACATTGGATACCTGCTGGGATTTTCACCAGAAGAAATTATTTCTAATACCTCTACCGCTGAAAGACAAGTGGATTTGGAGTATGGCTTTCACGACCTTTTCATTTACTGTGATCTTATTCAGTCACAATATGTTGGAGATGCATTGATACCTTTGTTTCGAATTGTTCCTGTACAAGGAAAGGTCGGGGAGCGAGTCAGTAAATCATTTTTGGGCCCCCAATATTTACCTGTTAGCAGAAAGCAATTTGAAACCGTCGAAGTCGATATAAAGACAGACACAGGGGAGTCTGTACCATTTGAGTTTGGGAGAGTGCTGTTAACACTTCATTTTCGTCAAAGTGCACCTCAGTACTTTTAAGATGAAAAAACTCCACACTCCAAATCACAAGTTCTATGAACACTACTATGTTAATCAAGCCAAACAAAAAGGTGGGAGTTTACCAGCGTTTCACGGTGCTCGATTTCAGCGGGGTTATGGACTAGGGTCCATATTCAGAGGCCTGTTTCGCTGGGCGATGCCTCACCTTCAACAGGGTGCTAAGGTGATTGGAAAAAAGGCTTTACAAACAGGAGTCAATGTTGTTCAAGATGTTCTTGATGGAGATAACATTAAAACAGCAGTCCACAAGCGCAAGAAACAAGCCCTCGGTCTACCTTCCCAGAACTCATTGCAGGGACAATCAGGAGCTGGCAAAAAATCTATAAAAAGAAAAGCGAAAGGAACGAAAATCACTTGGCCTCCAGCCAAGAAGGCAAAAACATCTCCGCAGCAAAAGAAGCCCAAAGAGAAATTTTCTTTCTGGAAGTAACTATGGCCTTTGTGCATCACAAGTCTCAGGAATGCACGAAATCAGAGTTGGATCTCTTTACGATTCCTGCAACACAAACCTCTATCACCAAAGTGCAATGGATCGAGTACCACCCCATCAGTAACATCACGGACAGTGGTCCGATCGAATTTTATGTTTCGGGAACCGGAGACGAGTATTTGGACTTGGCACGTACTCAGTTATTTGCAGTGAAAGCCAAGATCACAAAAGCAAATGGAACCGCCATAGACGCCGATACACAAAGTAGGTCCCGTAAACCTGTTTTTACACTCCCTTTTTTCGCAAGTGGACGTTTCCTTAAACGAGCGATTGATTTCTCCATCCACCAATACCTACCCTTATCGCGCCATGATCGAAACCTTGCTAAACTACGGAGAAGAAGCAAAAACAAGTCAACTTTCTATGGCCATGTTTTACAAAGATACCCCTGGAAAAATGGATGTTGCCAATCCTGTGGCTGCAGACGATGCCGCAAACAAGGGGTTAAAGGTTCGCTATGAAATCACCAAAGAAAGTCATATTGTGGATATGATGGGGCCCATTCATAGCGACATTTTCTTTCAAGACCGGTTGATGCTAAATGGAGTGAATTTAAGAATCAAACTGAACCAAGCCAAGAACTCGTTTTGTCTGATGTCATCAGCAGCCGATCCAACTTTCACGGTGGTAACCACAGAAGCCATCTTGTTCGTTCGCAAGGTGAAATTGGCCTCTTCTATTATACTTGGCCATGCTGCTGCACTGAAACACTCCAGCGCCAAGTACCCGGTTCGCCGAATAGATTGTAAAAAAGTTAAGTTAAAGTTAAGTTAAAGGCATGTTTATAGTGGAAGGTGCACTTAGCTAGTCAGCTAATTTACAGGCACTCCACTCAAATATTTAGAAACAAATAATTCAAATACAACATAAAGGATTAAAAACCCCAACTGGCAGAAGGCAACCAGTTGGCTATTTACAAGCGTGGCCGGGAATTTGAACTCGGGACGACCGAGCACAAATCCAGCAAGTGGCCAGAGCGAGACTCGAACCCGGGACCGCCGGATTGCGAGTCCGACGCGTTGACCACTCGGCCACGCTGCCTCCCCAAATTGTAATTGTAAAGTGCTGTCTATTCCAAGAGGATTTAGCAGTTTCAACCCCGACAACATCTTTTTGGGTCATATCCCCAAAAGAATCGTGCTGGTCTTAGTGGATACCCAGGCATATAATGGAACTTACAGTACCAACCCGTTCAACTTCAAACACCACAATCTAACTCAAGTGGGTGTCTATCTGGACGGAGAGCAAATTCCTCGGAAACCCCTGTTCTTGAATTTTGACGAAGCTGGAGGTCAAAATGTAATAGCGGGCTATCAAAGTCTGTTCTCAGGTACTGGAAAGCTATCCCAAGATGCGGGTAATCAGATCAGTGGAAGCGATTATGGCTCTGGTTACACAGCATTCTGCCTTGACTTGTCCCCATACCACTGCCCAGGTGACCATTCTGAGCTAATAAAGCAAGGTAACCTGCGCGCTGAGCTTCATTTCAAGGAAACACTGGCCAATACGGTTAACCTTATCGTGTTGTTCGACTACACAAACTAAAAATGGACACTACTCAACTGACCCTTATTTTGAGAAAGGATAAATTTACACGAGGTGTGTTTCAAGGCGTGTATCCCTCAGACCTGCTTCCTGCAAGTGTTTCACATTACCCAGCCCTGTTTATCGCCAATGTGGTTACGAGTGACAAGCCAGGTTCGCATTGGGTGGCGTTTTATTTCACCAAGGAGCAAGAGGGAGAATTTTTCGATTCTTACGGATCACCACCCAGCAAATACTCAGGAACATTTACTACCTTTTTAAACAACAATTCTAACCAGTGGACTTTTAATACTGTGACATTACAAAGCATCTATTCAAAAGTCTACGGACATTACTGTTTGTATTTTGCTTTATATCGTAGTCGGCAAATAAGTATGAGTATTATTGTCCGTCGTTTTTCTAAAAACACAAGTAAAAATGATAGTCTTGTAAAACGATTTATTGAAAAACATTTTCCTATAAGTTTTCCGAAATATCGTACTGATGTAAACATGCAAAGAGCAAAAGCACAACACTAAGTTCAGTAAACAGAAACCATGTAATTTCTTTTCAACACATTTTATTGAATGAGCAAAATAAAGTTTTGTGTTTCACAATAAAAAAGGCTCTTGTCATGATTTATAATCGTAAGCATCGAACAGCCTGAGAGCGAGGACTCTCGACTCTGCGCCTCTGCTTTTTGACAGAAGATAACGTCACAGGTGGGGTGGGTAGCCAACGCGAAGAACTCTCTGGGGTCTCCTCTCTCACTCTTGCTTTAAACTCTCTTACGGCACTCTGACGTTGGGGATTACGAACCAAGTTTTCGGGGACATTCCTTCGCGCCAGGCCCCTCGCAAACACGGACCACCCCACTGGCTGAAATCCTTTTCGGTGACGCAATGTGTCGTTAACTAGGTCGACCACATGAGAACCTGGGATTGGTTTGTTTTCATACAACAGCTCTCCTTTATCATTCCAATGCAACACATCCTGGTGTTTTTAAATTTTATCCAACAACTTTCTAGCCCCAGCTTTGTAAATTTTGGGTATACTTTTCATGACCTTCTGCTCTACTGCTGTTGGAAGAGAATTATCTGGAGAAGCTTCCTCTGTAGATTCTGCGTTCTCAACTGGTTTGGGGGTTTCTGTTGTTTTAGGGGTCGTTAACCTCGCATGGAGAGGCTGGCCTTTCCGCTGATCGTAATAAGTCAAGTACCGTTGCAACACCTGATTGTAAAGCTTCGCCTTTTCCTCATCATCAAGCTGTTTACTTTCTAAAATATCCCCCATTTGGCTATCCAGATTTGTCAGAGTTTGTGTTACAGGTGGTGTTAACATCTGCTGGCGTTGCTGCAATCGTTCCAGAGTGTTTTCAGGAACGAGAACCATGCGTCTTGTATGATTCATCTTAAGTAAGAAGCGAACTCAACACCCGAAGAACGGGAGGTAACAAAACACTTAAAAAGTTTCCTCCGTGTTGTACCAAGATTTGCTTTTTCTTGTTTAGCGGGGTACTCTTTTCAGCTAGAGCAGTCAAGGCTTTCTAGTGCTTAAGAAGTTTTCTCTTTGCCGGTTTACTGACAGGGATTGTTTCTTTAAGTACGTTGAATACACACGCACAAATGGTTCAAACTAAAGCGTCGTCGGCTGCTTTCAAAATTGCATTACGCTGAGCTGGGGTACACTTGACGAGGAGCTTAAGAAAATCGTGGTTCTTTCTTAGTCGCTGGGCCATACTCAACTCATATCAATCACTACGATGGAGCTTTTTTATACCTTTCTGACATAGGCGAGCTGAGTCTCCCCAGGGAAAATGCTTATGCGCAACCGGAAGTCAGTAGGCGTTTCCGGTTTGAGGTCGCATAACAGGTAGCCATGAGGGCGTTTTGTCGCATCCTGAAACGCTTTTTGCATGTATTTGACATGACCGGGAAACATGTGTTTCGTCAAGTGACTGACTTGACTGCTATCCCGCGGAGACTTGAACATCACCAAATAATGGCAACTCAAACTCATATCTCTCGGTGCTTTTCCCCGGTGAAATATTTTTTGAAGAATGAAAATAACGCTTAATTTTCGGTGATGACAGCCCTTAGTAAACAAATTTACGGAAGCCGAGAAGGGACAATCCAAAAATATTTTGCCAATCCCAAAAAATATTTTAAATCGCAATATTATTCTCAAATCACTGTCGAAAAGTTTGACAAATCTAAAAAACTATTGCAAATCCTAAGAAACTTTGTGGATCCGCAAATAACTTTCTCAATAATCCGAAAATATTTTGCAAATCCATAAAATTATTTGAAATCGCAATTTTTGTACAAATCATTATTGAAGAGTCTGGCAAATCTAAAAAACATTGCAAATCCTAAGACACTTATTGGATCCGCAAATAACTTTTTAGAAAACTCTAAAATAGTTTACAGTCCAAGAATCGTTGTGAAATCCAAAAAAGTATTTTGGAAATCGAAAAAACAGTTTTGTCACGTGCTACTTGCGCCAGCAGTCAGCCAGCGTTATACCGGCGTTTTCCCGCCATTCATGATCCCGTGTTGCCAAAAAATGGCGGCGTTTTGTGTCTCTTGTGGCAGTAAGGTGAACTCTGGCGACAAATTTTGTTTTAAATGTGGCTCAAAAGTTCCAGAGACATCGCTGAGTGGAAGAGACAGTAAACTGGAAGAAGAGCAAGCATCTTCATCTTCGTCGACGAGGTCATTGTCCCAATTCCTTGCCGCTAAAGTCGAAGAACGCAGCGGATTCAGCAAGCCAAACAAAGGTTTTAAAAGGAAAGCGAACAACACAGGATCCACTTCCAAAGGCAAAAGAGGTATTGACAACAGAGTTGTAATTCACGTTGGTTTAATCAGTGAAAACGAAGAAGGAAAGTTGGCGATAGCAAGAGGGAGCAAAGTGGCGTTGAGAGTGGGTAAAGATTTTGGAGCCCGGGAGGTATGCGAAGCTGCCGTTAAAAAACACTCTGATCATGACTAATTTTTCTGTGGAGACCAAGACTACATTTTGTTGTATCCAGATCAGAAAGCTGTTGTTAAAGTACCAGGCAGTGATGAAAAGTTCTCTGTAGCGAAATACAAACAAGAACTAGCAAAACCATACTCGAAAGTTGATCTGTTCATTTGCAAAGAGTCAGACTTTACGAAGAATAGGGAAATAGAGGATCAGGATCAGGATCGAGACGTTTCAGACCAGGAAAAGAAAAAGCCTTGCAAGGAAGATCTGATCGACATACAATCAGATGATGACAGTATGTTTGATTATTCAGTGTTTGATGGTCCTTGTACTGCTGATAGTAATCAGATTTCTCACGTGACAGCCAGCTGTGGATCCAGTTCCTACGGGCAACATGCCTTAGCTACTTCTTCTAGTTCTCGAGAGGAAAACAATGGGAGATGCACAAATGATCTGGAGATGTCATCCTTTATTGATCATAATGATTTTGAAGGTATAAAATAATTGTTTTTTCTGTAAAATACTACAGTATTTTTTTCTAACCCCTCATTTTTGGAATGGCCTGACAAAGAAATTTCCCCTAAAATTTTGGTGAAATCATGATGCTGGTGATACATCAGAAGTTTTCACGATAACTGTTATATTATGCCTTTTTATGACATGAGTCCCAAGTTCTGTCTGTTATTGTTCCACAGCTTTGCCACTTTTTGCAAGTCAAGAGATATCTCATGGAGAACGACCATTTAAGCCTGTGACTGTTCACAGGGCTCTGCTAAAGGGTGAAATGATTGATATTTTCAGGGATCCAAGTGTACTAGAATATGAAGTTGATTTTACTATCATTGGACACACTGGCATAGAAGAGGAAGGAAAAGGGTCAGGGGTACTTAAAGAGGTTTTAACAAGCTTTTGGCATGAATGATTCAGTAGTTTGACTGTTGGTGCATTACAAAAAGTTCCTAGTGTCAGGCATGATTACCAGAAAGGGGAGTGGGAGGCAATTGGCCGATTAATTGTGTATGGCTATTCATTTGCCAAGTATTTCCCCATTGCCCTGTCCCCAGCTTTTGTTGCAAGTGTGTTTTTTGGGGAGGAAAGTTTAACACCTGAGTTTTTAATTGAATCTTTTTAGTCTTACGTGTCTCAAGATGAGAGTAAGGTTTTAGAAAAGGCTCTTGGAAATGACTTTGACCCCAAAGATGAAGATCTGCTAGATTTGCTAAGTAACTTTAATTGTTACAAAAGTCCTGCCAAAACCAACATTTTCAACATAGTACATGAGCTTGCACATCAAGAATTGGTACAGAAGCCTCGATATATTGTTGATTGTCTTGCCCCAATAATAAATAGAATGAGGGTCTACACACCATTCCAAACTATGGAAGATCTGCAAAAACTTTACAATGAAAAGAAGCCTATCGCCAAAAGGGTAATTAATTTGCTGTCAGCAAATCCGACACCAGGGGCTGAGCAAAACAGTTTGGAGCATTTTAAAAGGTTTGTGAAGAGCCTTAATGGAAATGATCTTGGGGGCCTTTTACAGTTTTTGACAGGGAGTAACATTATTTTGTCTGAAACAGTTACTGTTACCTTTACAACTCTAGAAGGCAAATCTCGTCGGCCTATTGTCCACACCTGTGGACCATCACTAGAGTTACCTTCAACATACCAGTGTTATAATGAACTTGCTGAAGAGTTCACAGCAATTCTCAATGCCAAGGATTCCTGGTCATTTAATATTATTTAAGTTTGACTTCACTTTAATGGCAATGATCTTGGGGGCCTTTTACAGTGTTTGACAGGGAGTAACATTATTCTGTGTGAGACAATTACGGTACTGTTACCTTTACAACTCTAGAAGGCAAATCTCGTCGGCCTATTGTCCACACCTGTGGACCATCACTAGGGTTACCTTCAACTTACCAGTTTAATAATGAACTTGCAGAATAGTTCACACCAATGTTCAATGCCAAGGATTCCTGGTCATTTTTTAGGCTTGACTTCACATAGTTTTAGGGCTGGGATTGTTGCCGTATGGACTTCAGTCACCAAGGTTTTTTGGTAGGTTTTGTTTCCATTATTTATGATTAGAAGCACTTTGTTGTATGCTCTTGCTCTTTCATGCTAAGGGTAAGAACCCCTCACCATTTATTCAAGTTAGCCTAAAGTTATGACTTCATAATGTGTTAGTGACAAGCACATTTTTGTATATCTCCTCTACAAAAAGTCAAGCACTTTATTGTTAATATTACTTTAGCAGTTCAAGTTTTACCTAAGAAGCAAATGTTAACCTTTGGGCACCTTCCATAAGTAGCAACACTGATAGGTCTTGGCAGATATTTGTACTACGTATAAATCAAAACTGTCCAGCCAGTTTTAAAAGTACACATGTAGTGACTTCTAAATGAGCCAAAATAATGTGAACGGTTTTCATTGAAAGCATGTACAGCTGTATAAAAAGCCTATTTCATTATTTAATTTACTGGTTCAGCCAACCATTTTTGCCTTTTGGTAAGTGCCCTGAAATGATCTCTCAAACATAAGAGAAGAAATGATGTTTCAAATTCAGTTATTGTTCTTAGCTACAGACTGTATGGAGTCAACGTGTTGTTGATGTTCTTGCAATAAACTAATAAACCTTGTTAACCCTGACCTGATACTTTTTTCAC